TTAGAACATACAGCAGAATGAATCAGTTTCTAGCTTTATGTATTTGTGCTTAATGTTTGTGCATAACCATTTACTTCTCTCCTGTCTAGCTCACATCCCATAGAAGACAGGTGTGCCCAGAGAAACAGATGGTTTGTAAAGATTGCAATGAAACGTTCCGTAGTGCCGGACTGCTGCGTGCTCATCGCCTGACCCAGCATCCACGCCCAGATGTCGAGACTACAGAACAGCCAGAGGATTCTACAAAAACTCATCGCTGTAAGAAGTGCGGCCAGGGATTTGAAGCTGAATCAGAGCTGATGGCACACCAGGAGAAATACCCCGAAGGTCAGCAGTGCAACGGCAGCGCTTCATCTGTCAAGAAACGCGGACGGCCCGCCAAGGCCGAAGACGCGGCAGGTGCTGAGAAAAAGGGAAAGCGGAAAAAGAAAGAGGAAGCAGACATTCCCGAGGAGACCGTGAAGGCCGGCAGCACATCAGACGCGACGGCAACCCCAGCGGAAGAAAAAGGGAAAGCAAAGGTGACAGCAAAGTCAGAAACGGAAGATAAAACTCCCGAGGACGAGAGTCAGGCTTCAGCAAAAGAGAAGAAACCTAAAGCAGAGCCGACCCCACCCCGTCAGCAGCCGTGCCCCGAGTGCGACCTCACATTCCCCGGCTTGATTCAGCTCTGCGTTTACAAGAAGGAGAAGCATGCCCCACGGAAAGCCCACCCCTGCGAAGAATGTGAAGAGAGCTTTGCCCGTCCAGAGCAGCTGGATGCCCATATTTCCTGGGCGCACGCCAATGGCCGATTTGCCTGTCCGACCTGCGGGGAGAGCTTTGGCCGAGAGCGCACATTGAAAGCTCACCAGAAAAGTCACCCAGAGGAAAAGCCTGAAAACACAAGTGGAAAATGATGATTCAGAAACTAAGTGAGACAAATTAGATAGAATTCAACCCTGCATACTTAAGAAATTGTTTTCATTACAGGGTTTGGGCTACATCACTGAAAATGAGGTGCAAGTTCTTGGAAGTGATGAGATCAAGGTTGAAGAGAACAGTTCGAATCAACCACTGACTGCATCCACTAGTCAAAATAGACAGACTGCAAGCGTGCAGCCGCTGCATCATCGCGATATAAGGACTGTTCTGGTGAAAGAGGAAAGCAGCCTCATAGTGAATGATGTTCCAGCCACAAATGGCAGCAGACACATCCGCTGGAATGTAGAGGCACTTAGTGAAAATACAGTCATCCCAAGTAAGTATTAAGGTTTCTCAACCAATATGTAATTATAAAACTATTGATTTCTGCAGTCTGCATACCACCTGGCACAGTATCTCTTGATTTCTTTTTTTTTTTTAAATCAAATGTTAGTTTTTTGAGAGTAACAGGATTTCTGATTATTGGATAAACCAAAGTTTAGCTGTTGTCACCTCTGATTCCACTCATGGCTAATCACCTTCTGGCTAATGAGTATAACTCTTGGAAAACCACTGTGCCATGTTAAATCATGTTCTTTGATTTGTATTTTAGCAGTAGAGGTTGGGGAGAGGACAACGGACTGTTGCATCTTACCAGAGTTCAACACCAGCCAGTGTATTTTCTATCCAATAAAGGAGGAGGAGAGAGAGGTCCTAGTAGAATCTGCTGGGACCAGCAGAAACCCAGAGGGATCCCACGATGCAAATCAGACAGAAAGTCAAACAGCAGATTGTGATATACGTGAGTAACTCACTCGACCTCCACCTCCACTTACTTTGAAATCCACCATTTTTAATCCTCAGTCGTAAAAGGCTGATGGGGTATTGTCATCACCCTGCTGGATGGGCGGGTGGGCAGCGTTGACCCCTAAGTCTGTGAATAATTGCATAGTAGCTTCAAACTGATACCACAGGTTTATTTGCTAAAAACCTTGGATGAGTTTGGATCTTGGTGACCTTG